AAATTGAAGAAATGAGGGTGGAACGGGCCCGGCCACGGGCAACCCGACACAAGGGAGGGGGAAGAGGTCCGAATGCCAGGGCCAGCTCGTCATGCCAATCCTCCCGGATCACATCGAGACTACTCACAAGGCGTCGAGAGGATGATGACGATACTGTTGAAGAACCCGGACAGCGCTGTCGACGGGTTGTTGACGTCCGCAAAGAGGTAGGTCGCCCAGGTGGGCACGAGGAGGTTGCCCAGCCCGAACGAGGCCGAGGCGGCGAGGATGAAGCGCTCCTTCCGGGTCCACTTGATGTAGCTGAGGACCTTGACTCCGGAGGCGAAGACCGAGGCGAAGAGGAACTGCGGGGAGTGGTCAGCGCGGCACGAAGTCAAGGACAAGGACGAGGGCCGGGGCAAGGGCAAGGACAATGGCAAGGATAATGATGGACGAAACGACAGGGAACGAGGTGGGTTGTTGGAGGTCGACGGGTCACAACGGACACGACACGAGGACAAGTCGCGTCGTCGTTGAGCAGGGCTCGAGCCGACTCACCGTCGTCACGCCCCCAAGGACAGGGTTCGGGATCGACAAGAACACCCCAGAGATCTTGCCGAGTACTAAATCACAACACCATCAGCCTATCGACCCCCATCTGCACTGGCGCAGTGACCGCCGCAGAGACCTTGGGCAACCGCGTCGCGCTTCGCGCCACTCACCGCCGTAGAGGATGAGGAAGCTCGCGCAGACGTAGCCGGCTTTACGGTTCGCGCAGCGCGTGAGGGCGATGACGCCGTTGTTCTGCGCGAAGATGCTAGCGGGGTCAGCGACGGCCGGGGGGTGACAGTCAGAGAAAGGGAAGAGCGCTGAGCTTAGAGCGGCGGAGTGGCGCGGCGGGAAGAGATTAGGTGAAGGGCTGGAGTGCCGCTGGATTGCAGGGGACATGTCGATGTCGATCTCGATCTCCACCCACCTCATCGGGGTCACGGTGAAGAGACCGGAGAGGAAACCCGCGATACCATCCGCGAGGACGCCGCCTTGGATGCGGGAGTCGAACTCGGGCTAGAGGCGGGCGTCAGCTGGGATCCAGATGTGTGTACTTCATGCGCCGCGGAAGAGCAACTCACGCCGTCGACTTCGACCCTGGAGACCTCGCTTGAGGCGGTGATACTGCCACCCAATCAGTCAGCCATGTCCTACCTTCTCGTCGTCGTCCTACTTCTCCTCCTCGTCCTCTTCACCTTCCTCGTCCTCGTCCTCGTCCGGCTGCTGCTGCTCGTTCTTCTCGTTCTTCCTTCCTGGACGACTCCCACTCACTCTCCAATAGCTTCCATTGCCAGGGCAATATACACCGCCAGACCGGGAAGCACGGCCGGCCCATACACCCTAAGCTTGAACCGCTTCACCCAGAGGAACGTGATTGCGGGGGCGCTCGTGATGTTGGAGGAATCGACGTAGCCCGTAGCTCCCGCGACGATCATGCCGACGATGAGACCGATGATGATCGAGGCGTTGCGCATGAAGGGGGAGCCGAAGATCTCCACGAGGATGATGGTCACGAAGGAGAGGAAGCCGAGGCCGAGGAACTGGGGGCTCCCGAAGCTACAACCGGGGTTCGTCAGCGGAGAGTTACTTCAATCCCTCAATATGTGGCAAGGGGAGCAAGAACGCCTTGGGGATCTGGCAGCTCTCGTCTGTGGAGCCATTGTGAGGCGAGACGCATCATGCAGACGAGATTGGACGTTTCCGGGGGACGGGAAAATGAAGAGGAGCGGAGAGGAGCGGAGGTGGAGTCATTCTGAGAGAGAAGTCCTAATGCCTGTTTTGATCCTGTGCCACTCACGCAAGCGGCTTCTTCGCAAAGATCGTGGGGCACAGGTGGAAGATACTGGGCAGCTCGGGTCTCTCCTGACACCCATTGGAGCCTCCTCCCCAGTTCAGGAAGCCCGAGTCGCCAATCAGCGACGCCCCGATGAGGACGACGGTGAGACCGGTGACGAGCGGAGGGAAGACCCGGCGGAGCTTGGCGGGTGGCACGAAAGACATGGCCATCTCGAGGAAGGAGCAGACGAGGGTGGTGCCAATCAGGGCACCGAAGGCGCTGCGGACGTCAGCGCGAGGCTCGGGCGTGGGCATGGAAATGAGCATGGGTATGAGCATGAAAACGGGAGCGGAAACGGAGACGGAGACGGAGACGGGATTGGGAAGGAGCCATGCCGAGTTGGGTCGGGACGCGACGTGTCGGTGTCGAGGTCGCCGAAGGATAACGAAACGTACTCTGGGCATGCTCCTGTTGCCTGTGTCAGCGGAAGCGCATCACAGCGTTTAATCCGGTAACATCACAGTCACCGCTCACCCCTGGTGACTGTCCCATCCGCCGCCGTCGTGCTCGGGCAAGTCCCGTCCGCATACAGGGCATTGAAGATCGCCGACGCCGTCGACAGACTGGCGAAGCTGGTGCCCACGACCGTGATGAGTCCGGTGCCGAGGTAGTAGTTCCTCCAGAGGCGGATGCGGGACATCTGCACCATGGAGAGGATGCCGGACGAGATGAGCGAGGCGGAGATCATGTAGGACTGGTAGTCGGCCGAGAGGTTGAGTTCGGAGGCGAAGATGATCGGGGGCTGAGTCGGGTCGGATCGGGTCAGCGACACGACACGACAGCATGCAATGCGAGGCAGGGTCAAGTCATCACCAGCATCACGCGGCAGGTTGGGTGACATGATTGGGCTGTACAGTAGCATGGGGACGAGGGCGGCATAGCGTTACCCACCGTGATGACCCCCGCGAGCATGGCGAGACTGTGTTGGAAGCCTGCGCAAGTAAGCGATGTCACAGCGGGTTGCGCATCGCGCCTCCCGTCCCAAACTGTGTGAAACCCCGCCATGCGGTCCGGGCTCGGACGGACTCACCGCATACAATGGCCAGGAGGATCGGGAGATCCGCGTGGAGGCTGTAGAACGGGGGCGGCACACGGGCGACCCTGTTCTTGCCGTACGGGAACTGGGGCAGGCAGAGGAAACCAAAGTTGTAGCTCCCGAACCATCCCTACGTGCGCTCTCAGCCAGCGGCAACGGCGATGGTCGAGGGTCGGTGGTCGCCTCGTCGCGACGCGACGCGAGGTAGATGGACTTACCTCCCTACGATGACCTGTCAGCGCTTGTCTCGATTATTACGACTCGTCAATTGAAACCCGGACTCGGGTGAGGAGACGGGGACTCGTGTGGGACCCACTTCGTGGTGAGCTTCTTGGTCACGCGGCGCACAAAGGGATCCTTGGGGATCTCCATCGGCGACTGTGGCGGGGGCGAGGTAGCGATGGACGACATAGTGTGGGTCGTGTCGTGTCGTGTCCAGGCGTCGGGCGTGGTGTGAATGTGTGTCGCTGTGTCTCGGACTATCGCAAACTCGGGGACCGTCGACGAGCGGATGCCCAGTGGAGGTACGAGTAGGATATACGAGTACTGGCTACGTGTTACGAGTACCAGTGGTAGGGCGAGTCAGTCACCCGTCACCCGATTCAGACTGGTCTTAAGTGTTGATAGACGGACGAGCGACAGATGTGCGCTCCATGATCTTGGGCAGCCTATGACGCAGGATACATCCTCGTCTCGCGGGCAGCTGGCGGGCGAGGGCTCTGCTGGTCGTTATCGCTGGGCATGCATTTGTGACTTTCTCCCCCGCTAGACTCGGAGCGGAACGTTAGTGCCAAGGCCAAGCCCCGGTCTGCAGCGGTGCAGCGGTGAAGCCAACAGGCAGTATCCGGCGGCCGCTGGGATGGCCCGTGTCCAATTGGTGGTGCCGTGGTCGAGATTTCCTTATCTCTGCGGATGAGATGGGGGCGGGAGACGCGAGAGGCCGCCCCGAGTCTCCGAGCTGCACCAACACACCAAACAATTGCTCCGACCAATCCTCTTTCGAGATCGACCCTAGCATAGTATGTCCCTGGACGACAAGTTAGGCTCATCCCACGCCATAATTACACGCACGCGATATCGGTCAGCGTCGCAGCGACGAATCACAACGGAGTTTTTCCCACAACGCTGGGCTGGGACGCTGCCTGCGCACGCAGACGGGCAGATCAGGAACCGAAGATCGACCGTATCGACCGCATCGGCCCCGCTCGCGCGTATGTCATCGTGCCCGTCCCCCTCCAAGCCGGTGTCGTGGAGGTGTGAGGTCGAGGTGTGCGCCAGAGCAGAGCAGCAGAGCTTTCGCCCGGATGATCCTTATCGCGGTGGTGAAGTGGAGAGAGAACCCACTTAGACTTTTGGTGGTGACGTCGAAGCCGATTGGCAAAAACGGGAGGAGCGATAAGGATTGTGGCGCCGCCTGGTCATTCCCATGGTCAGCGGCAGCGAGAAGAGGGCACGCGACCGGTACCGGCATTCGTTCAGTTCTTGGGTGGGCTATTGGGAGTACAACACAGGTGGGAGAGCGTGCATCGTGGATCGCTTGGACCGCTTGGACCGCTTGCTTCCAGATCGACAAGTGCGTCTGCCTCGACGATCGGGCGTTGGGATCGGGGCTTGCGAAGAGATAGATCGGGGATTGAGCAGGTTGTGGGGCGAGTTTTATTCTGTATCACTCCCACTCGTGCATGTACCCGCCCAGCATCCGGCAGCGACGTCGGAAACATCACTGGTGTAACATAATTGCTGGGCCATTCCACAGCGGGACGATGGGCAGCTAAGGCCCAGTACACAGTCAAGCTCGATAGACTTTCGCAGGGGAGAGACGGTGAGGTGGCAGGGGCTCGAGCAACCCTGCCTGCTGTACGAGTACATACCCGTACTGCAGTCCTTGGCCCCGTGTAGAATGCCGTAGCGAGGTGTTTTCGCCAGTGGGACATGGTCTCGGTGTCAAGCGATCACATGCAAATCATTATACTGTATAAAGTGTGACTGAACTCGGTGATCGATTATATACTGTATACTATAATATAAGTTCGTTGTAAAAGCAACACGCGTACCGGATACCCGTACCCCAGTGAAGCTGCAGCGATACGAATAACGCCATCAGACCGAATCGAATCGTGGAGAGTATGGGACGACCTCGCTTCCGACCTGAATGCTATGTTGGCGCGCGGGCTTGAATGTCGACGGACTGGGCTTCATCGGGAGGGAGAACTTGTTCTCGTCCGTCTACAAGGGCTCAGTACATCGAACCGCGCTCGTCTCCGGGATGCCAGCATACGTGGGCGTGTACAGTCCCAGCGAGCGATTCGGCCGACGCACAGAGTGGTTCCAAGGACGGCGAGGACGAGGTTGTTCCTGTTCCAAAGCCTCCAAGCTCGTTGGACGAAGAACCCACACACGGGGAGTCTGGTGCACAGGCCGATGATGTAGTTCTGGTTGAGCACTATCACAGCGTCAGCGCTGTGTCTGGGTTACGCGAGAGTGACTACGGGGCCATACTGAACGGGTACGGGTACGGGTACGTACCGTTCATCTCCATGAAAGGAGAGTATGGACCGAAGTTCGTCACAAAAAGGTGGAAGGTGATGTACATGGCTCTAAGGGGGTTTAGCATTGCGTAGCTGGTCTGAACAACTCCGCACCCCCGCGTGATCTTCGCGGTGAGTGATGTGCGCTACTCACATCGCAGCATAGGCCGTCGTAGCGAGACAAACGAATATCTATGATCGTCAGTGCAATTACAGTACGGCCGCCGCTGACTGCGTGCAGCTCACCGTCAGGATAGTCACCCAGCGCCGCTCCGTGGGCTTCGAGTACAGCCACCAGTGCACGAAGAGCCAGAGTCCCAGGCCATACTAGATCAAGCCGAGGAAGGCTCTATGGGACGTCAGTGGACGACCGAGCGGTGCCGCGCCGCGCCGCATGAGGAAGAGGACCTACTCCAGGAGGTACGGCCCGAGGCTCAGCCCTTTGTTGGCCCCCAATATTGAAGCCACGACGGCTTCGATCTCATCGGGATGGTAGGCCCCCAGGTTCATGGTGTCGAACGGTGCTATGTGGGTAGATGTGCGTGGCCTGCGAGAGAATCACTGGGCAAGTCGTGGTGACATCGGGGGATATACTCATGGCCATGCGGTGCTACTTTATAGCATGCGAGTCGCTCAAGCCTTTACCCATCCTTCACCCGTCCTCAGCGAGCCCCTTTGAAGGCACTCTGCTTGTTTTGCGATGGGCGTATAGGATACGGATCTGGGTGTGTGTCTGTGTATGCATGTGTGGACCTTGTGTGTCCTCGCGCAACATCTCCCCTCACTGTCCTTTCGCTTCCCAAAGAGGTGCTCGTCCTTGTACCGAGATCGAGAGACCAAGGCGGTCAATGCGGGTTCCCCTTTGAGATCTACTGCGGCCCCTGGCACCTTTAACCGATGTCGACCCGGTGGCATACGGTCGATGCATGTCGTCAGCGCATACAGTGTCGTCCACCGTGCCGACCGACGGTCTCCGCCGGACTCGAATGGTTACGGAATGGACCTTCCGCAACGCGGGCCAACGCAGGGCCCGGGTCTGACCGGGTATATGTGCAAGTACAACTGGTCGTACTGCACGGTCGCCCCTGGTCGTCAGTGCTCGAGTCTCACAACCCGTCAAGCCTCCGCTGCGGCTGGCAAACGCCTCATTTGCGGCAAAACACTGCCTTGCCGACCTTCTAACCGACCTCTTGACCGAAGTCTTCTACAGTATGAGTACGGCATCACGGGGCGGCAGCTTGGGGAACAAGTTGGACGCCAGGTCGTCGGTCATGACACCGTGAAAAGCGCCCAAGCCACCTTAGGTCCATTCGGACCGATTTCGACGCCGCCGAAGTCAGAGCGGAAATTGCCGAGCCACCATTCCGGCTGTCGTATTTGTGTCGATACACATGCCGTGAGCGCAGTGTGTGTGTGTCGGGATGAGGCATCTTACCTCATTGTCCAAGCGCATACAGAATTTGACCCGGATGTTGAAGGCAAATCATGCCCGAAGGCACCGTCGGGGATCGTCGATCTGCCAGCGGCCGAGTGGTACGGAGAGAACGTCCTTCTCTCCGACTGGGCTCAATCGCTCGGGGAAAGCGAAGGCTGGGCCCTGGCCCCAGGGCCCCCGGCATTATCGTAGGTACGTGATGGTACAGCGTCATGATGGTGGAGCCTTGCCATGGCGCCATGGACCGGGTGGAGAGGCCTGCGCCAACTTGCGAGGGACCGACATTCCACACAGCGGGGCGTGGCGAGGAGAGTCACTGCCAACCAGCATCCAACTCAACTTGTGCGCGGGCTTGGCAGTCTGAGGCGATGCTTGTGTCAACGTCAAAGCTGCCGGCAGCTGGGATCCGAGCTTCAGCCTCAAGCAAGGATCTGTACTCGTACGTTGTAAGGGCCTCAGGCGCCTGTCGGCGACATCGTCGTTCATGCAAGTCTTGCTACAGGGGGTCTTGTACATATGATATCCCGGCCGGATCCATACCAGTACAGATGGTATCGCAGATGGCCACGCGGTCACTCTGCGACACGCTGTCGACAAAGGCCAAGAGGCGAACTTCGCGCCCAGGGTAGTGCTCACGCTGCGCTCCCCCGCTCACGCTGCGCTCCCCCGCTCACGCTGCGCTCCCTCGCGGCCGCTCGCTCACTCAGAACCGAGCCCTGACAAACATCTCGAGCACCGAGCCCGCTGCGCCCGCGCCAATCACCGCCCAGAGCCACTTGTTGGCCACCTCGTTGGGGCTGGGCCAGAACGAGTTCTTCTCCATCTTGTACTCTGTGAACTCGAGCAGCTTGACCGGGTCCTCGGCGCGATACCGCTCTTCCTGCGACGCCTCGTTCTCCTTGTCGCCGCCGACGTGACGGAGGAAGTACCAGTTGGCGAGAGGCCCGAGGAGGGTGTACGGGTTGAGAAGGTCGTATGCGAAGAGCAAGATGGGGAAGGAGGCGTGGAGGAGAGTGTCACCGAGGTAGCTGATAGGGCGCATGAGTACCGCAACCTACTGTTGGTCCTGTCCCGCGGATCTGGGACGCGGACTTGGGCACATGGGATACAGCGACGTACTTGGGGTGACGGACGATGCTCCACACGCCATCGGTAAGGATACCCTCGTCTCCGCGCTGCTTGTGGTTGTCCAGCTGGAAGTCGGCGAGGACCTCCAGCGCGAATCCAGCGGAGAACAATCCGACCGCGACGGCCGCCAAGACGCCACGGGCGTCATCGGGGCACCTGAGCACCGGGGTGAGCTTGAACGGCGCGGTGAACGGGAGGGTGATGAAAGCCTGGACGATCGCCTCGGGGAAGAACGTCTTCCATATGGCCGAGTTCCAAGCCTTCGGGTCCTGGTGCAGGGGCTTGTAACGCGCGTCGTCGGTGCCCCGCTTGAGTCGGCGGGAGAGGATGCGGTAGAACAGTCGACCCCCCCAGAGGGTCACGCCGGTGAGGATCAGTTTGCCAGGGTATGAGATAGACTTCCAGACGGTGTCGACGGGCACGCCGTCGAGCAGGACGGGACGGCCAAGGGCGGACCACCACGCATTGGCGACCATGCCCGAGGGCCAGAGGTAGTCCTTTGCTTCAAAGGTGTCGGTGCCGCGCCCGATCAGGTAGACGGGGACGGCAAGAGCGGCGTGGAAGCCGAGGTTGGGCAGGAGCGTGTCCCGGAGGACGCCCACATCGAAGAGCGGTCGCGTGGCCATGACCGCGGGCAATTGTGGGTCTACGGGTCGAGCGACCTTCAGCTCAGGTTGAGTGGAAGGATCGACTAGTGGCGAGCGTGTCGCGCTTGTACAAGTACTAAGTCAAGTTGATTGGGATGGGAATGCATATGCTATAGGACAGGGCTGTCGATGGAAGAGTCGCGGAGAGGCTGCAAGGTGTGACGCCTTGACGTCATCCACCACCCTGTTACGATACCTGTACCAGGCCTCCTGTCGCAAAACCATTTTCGTATGTGCATGTCCGAGTACAGTCTCGACGTAATGCCCTTTGCCACAACACCACCTCGTATTAGTCCCATCCACCCAGTACCGTGACCAATTCAATGCACACTCGAAGAAGGGACAGTATTAGAGGATGAACTGGAAGCGGCCAAAGGAAAAGACAAACAGCGGGGGCGTGTGAGTGCGAGTCGGCGTGGCATGTCTCACGACGCTGCCGCCGCGCTTCTCAGCGAAGAGTTGGACGCGGGTTGGGTCAGTCCGACCTTGGAGCTGTTACTGGCGGGGTAATACTCCTGCGACGACTCCGAGTCCGAGTTGACAAGCGTGTGCTCGGGATGCAGCTCGTCGCGGTTGATGGACTTCTTGAACGCGCGGGAGTCGTAGGCGTGTTTCTGCTTGGTTCAGGACGGGACGTGCAACCAGACATTCAGGCAGAGCGACGGCGATTAACTGGACGGAGGAGCCGCGGTGGTGCAACTCACCTCCTCATACACGTCCGTTGTGATCTGCACGGTGGCGTGCTGCGGCAGCGAGGCGTTCTTGTAGCTGTTGTCGGTGGTGCTATTGCCGGACCGACTTGTGCGCTTGAGGCGGGTGACGAGCACGGCGAGGAAGGTGGTCACGTAGGTCTGCGATGCGGCGCTGAGGAAAAGCTGTCAGCGATCGTAGCGAGGGGACGCCTTGGCCGAGCCGAGGTACCGGCTGAGCGAGCGAGGGGGGCTGCAACTCACACAAAGAAGGCCTGTAGCGGGGAGGTGTTGTCGTGCGAGTAGATGATGATGAAGCCGATAGCCCTGGCTCATGAGTCCTCCGTCTCGGTTCGAGAATGAGATATGAATTCCGAGAATGAGATGTGAATCGGCTCACAAGCAAGTCGGCGGGAGTTGAGTCTCGACGGTGAGGTACAGGATGCGATTGATCATTCTGTCTGTGTCGGACCAGCCCGTTCGGGTCCGCATGAGACACAAAGCGATGGTAACGGTGATGATCACACCGGCCGCCATGGCTCCGGCATACTGCCAGCCCGTGAGCATGAGGAGAACAAGGTGGGAGTGAGTCAAGAACCACGGACGTAGCAGTAGACGAAGATCTGGTTGAGTCTGTCCTGACGCGCGGTGGCCTATCATGCGTGAGCTTCGCCTCAACCTGGAGCTCACGGACGGTGTGGCGTAAAGTGATGTAGTCGTGAGGGACAATGATCTTGACTCCTATGCTACCGGCGGCGGACAGACCCCTGTGAGGCATCAGCTCAGGTCGGTCCCCACTGCGAGAACATCTGCCGAACTCACATGCAGGCGCCAATGACTGCGAGCAGAAGATAGGAGGCCTTGGATCTGCCGGCGAGGCGGAACGCGCGGTGAGCGAAGAAGCCCGACACTGGGGTCCGAATGAGCTGTGGCAGGTCAGCGACAGCGCTCAACGTGAGCGGCCGGTGATCCGACGAACCATGTCGATGATGTAGAACCACATGCTGTCTGGGGATCAGCCCAGCTCCCACGCGAGAGACGTACAGTCGTTGATGATGAAGGGCGAGTACGAGCCGAAGTTGTAGACGAAGAGGTGCAGCGTCCATGCTGCCACACTGAGCGGCGTTAGCCCACAGCGTTCAAGTAGATCTGGAGGGACCAATGGACACCTACTGGCCGATTGCAACGGTAGCGAAGACGAAGAGCCATACCTACGAATGGCGGTCAACTATATACCTCGCAAGTCCAGCTCGGACCTCACTCACCACGACGAGGCGGACCAACCACGAGTCGGTCTTGGCAAAGTGGTACACCCAGACACAGAACAGGACCACGACGATACCGTACTGGAAAGCTCCGAGGAGCAGCCTACGGGGTATTAGCGAAGCACATCAAACATGCTTTGTGGTGTGGCAGGCTCACCCCATGATGTGAGGGCCCAGGTATATGGCCTTGCTCGGCACGATGATTGCCTCGGCGACGGTCTCGAACGCCTGCGTGTAGGTCATGTTGTATGCCTCGGGGTCGGCGAGGATCTGTGCGAGTTGCGCGAACCCGCTCATGGTGGGTGACAGGACAAGGAAGGTAGGCGAAGGAGAATGAATGTGGTGT